CCGGAATAATTTTTCGCATTTTTTCCCCTTGCTGAGACAATTCTGATGTCGGATTACATTAAGACCAAAAAAAAAAAACATTGTTACAGTGGATGCGAAGTAAGTGCCCCAGCTGCTGATCGTGCCTTCGTATTCTCCAGCTCCATCTTTTCCAGCATTGCAGCGGCTACATCGACAACATCGTTCGTTGAGATGACTGCGCCTGAAAAACGGTATTACAAAGAGGAAAGAGGAACAAAAAAGGCGAGGGTTTAGTGACCAAACACCACAACCGTCATACTGACGAACTCCAGTTGAAGTGCCAAGAAGTGACTTAATGGATCGAAAAATTCCTATTAAGTTTAATTTTTCCTCTTGCCACTTTCTTTTTTACTCCATCAACTCAGTCCTTTGATTTAGTCGTCTCGTAACTAATAAGCAGATTTTAGCAACCAGATTGACCCTAGAAGCCTAAATTACGAAGGCGCGACAGATTACAGCATGAGAGAACAGTATGAGAGAAAAAGATAAGAGTGAAATAAGCCATTTCGGTTTATTGAGTCATATACGCCTTAACACCGCGGCAGGACCTCGTCAGTATGATGGCCGCAGTGCTTAATGGAAAAGGAAAAGGGAAAAGCGGTAGAAAGAAGCAGAAGAAAAGACAATCTAATCATCCATTCGTTTTGTTCTAATCATTATCTAATCATTATTATTACAGTCTAACCATTATTACAACTATTAAACACCAAAGTACCACTTCATCAAAACCTAAATATGGGGAAGAGAGGTTAACCAGGATACACGGCAAGCGGCAGTTCCGGGATGCTAGTCCCATGCTTCGGTTTGATACCATTTTTGATCAATTTTTGCCCTGCTGACAGTATTTCATAGTTGATTTGCACAACATAAAGCCATTCTCACAAAAATCAAACCAAATTTCTATGGTACCCCCGGTTTCCTTTTATGAAAATCACAGGAACTTTGTTTGTGATCCGAACGAAAACGCCTCGATCAACAACAGCAAGCATTCATAGGCGAACGGGTTTTTCCTGCAAAAATTGGTTTAGCTAAACAAAATGTTAACCTTCGATCGGTGCATCCGGACTTTGCTCTCGTGTCGGCGAACCAACACCTTCGTTATTTTCCTTATCCTGAAATTTTCGATTGCATTGCATTTCGAAGCAAATGATCGCCTCGAACCCTTTCCGGACTATGTGGAAATCCCCCCATGTTATACTACAGTGCAGGTGTAGATCCCGCGAGAACCTCGCATGACTCGGCTAAGTGATTTCAGATTTACTAACATGAAGATTTTTATACTGCGTTTGTGCGTTTTTTTTTTTTTTAAATATGCATTAATAAAACGTAATTTATGTCTCTAAATGTATGAATTTATGTCTCTTTGTAAATTCAAGGCATAATTTGCTGTGCTATCTCAGAACAAAGCATTTAAGTTGTAATATTCAGTCGTTTTGTCAAAATCAAACACAGTCTAAAAAGCAATAAAAAAGACGATGGGCAGGAAGAGAAACTGCGCCAGCATGTGGCAAAGATGACAGTTAACAGATGGACGAAAAGAAATGAGTTAAACGTAATGACAATCTGTTAAAAGAACAGCAAAAAAGCTTAACTCAAACGTTCGGGATAGTGTAAATGTCAAAAATGAAAGAACTGTACTCGATGGAAAAGTTGCCAGGTGCACAAAGATACAGGATCTAGCCCATGAATTAACATCTGCTTGAGATATTAATTAATAAAATCAGGGGATCAACAACACCGGCACCGGCATACGATAGCGAAAAGCTGAATGCTGCGTTAAGAGCTCGTGCCCAGAAATGGATTGAGGAAGATTATGTGGAAATTGTTAAGGAAGCGAACAACAGATTCATGCTCCGTGTAATTTAAATATTCGCTCACCGTATATGTGCTCCTATATTGTACAGTCACTGAGAAAAACAGTTTAAAATAGTTACCAATTTTTGATCGCGCACTTTGTTACGATTCTTGGCTGCTTGTTTCTTCGCTGCATCGCGTCTCTTTTTAGCATCCGATGGCATTTCTGCCTAAAAGCATGAGCAATTTTCGAGAATGCGTGAAGTTTTTTGATCACGTAGATTTATTTCCCCACACGTAAATAATTGTCTGTAAGTTCACTTCCTATACATAGAATCATTTTGAAACACGCGGGCTCAT